GCTCAAAATTAAACATTTTGAGCTGGTGTAAAAATCACGATATTGACCAGGCGTTCCTCGTCTCTTTTACAAAAGATTTTTGGACAAAATGTTAAGCCCTTTTCGAAAAGTGCTCGGAAATGCCCCCAATCCCAAGGGAATAGCCCATGGAACTCCCCAAAGCGTGGGAAACTTAAAAATGACAGGTTTTACTTTGAAAAGTTTCTTAAAAGAAGAATCCCGGGGTTTTTATGTTGTGGCTTAATGTTTGGTTCCTAAAAAACCACGGTATGGATTTTTATGAAACAGAACCTTGGGTATTATAACTTTATTTAATGGTTTCCCAATAACCAAGGTAAAGATAAAACGGAACCTTGGTTTTTATAGCTTCATTTTTGGTTTGTAAGTAACCAAACTAGGGCATACTAGGGAGACACATCCCCACCCCCACCCCCTTGCCCAGGCCAATAGATCCCCTTCAAAGCACTTTAACTTAAAACCTTAACAGAAAAAAACAATCAGTTTTATTGTTTAAATCAATAAAGAATGAAAATATATGCAGTTTTAATTTTTTTTCTATTTTAATACTACATAAATAAACATTCTGATGGTCACACACTCAGGTATAAACCTTTTGCAATTTTAGCTTATTCTACAAAGCATTTTGTGTTAAATTTTAATTTCTGGTCAATACTGCTTATTCATAGGGGATGGTACTCCTGACCAGAGTAGGAGACCAGAAAGGTTTAATGGATGTGAGGAGAGTTGAGAAAGGGGAGAAAAGGGGAGAAAGAGAAGATGAGAAAAAGGAGAAAAGGGAGAAAAGGGAGAAAATGATAGAGGAGAAAGGGAGAAAGGAGATAAAGGGGAGAAAGAGGAGAAAAGGGAGAAAGGAAAAAAGGAAAAAAGGGGAGAAAAGGATAGAGTAGAAAGGGAGAAAGGAGATAAAGTGGAGAAAGAGGAGAATGAGAAAGGGGAGGAAAGGGTAAAACTTCATATCAGATTATTTTTTTCTATTTTCTCTTTGGATGCTTGGCAGAGTCCACATAGTAAAAACCAGAATTCATCGATCACAGTACACCTACAACTACACTGAAAAGAAAAACACTATAAAATTAGGATAAAGATCTGTCAAACTACACCTTACTATTGGTCTACTAAGCATTTTGAAAGCAATGATTAGGATGCATGATTGTTTTTTTTTTTCTTGGCTCATATTGACTTTATACTCAAAATATTCCTGCATCTCATATAAATAATGACTTCAAAGTCAAAGAACCAGTTAAATGTCTGGTAGGCATGCAAGCATCTTAGACTAACCTTACCCTCTGGCTGCGACGAATGGGATATTTCCCATTCCGTGTTTGGGGTTGATTTTGGGTCTCATCTTGCTATTCCACTGAACAGTTTTAACCTATACACCAAATTCCAAAATGGCGCAAGGCCGAGTCAGTGTTACATGAAAGGCATCCAGGGCCAAATGCAAAGAAATAATATGGTGTCAATGCAAAGTATACTCTTGTTCACTTGTTCTGTCTTTCTTTTCTTCTTACATTCAGAATAGCGAAAATTTTGCAGCATCAATTTATCAGAAAATACTGTAAAATGGTAAATTTGGCTCCGGATGTCTCGTTTTCAACCGGCCGTGCACCATTTTGGATTTAGGTGTATTTTTTTTTAGCGAAAAATGAAAAGCAACATTATGAACTCTGATCCTAGGAGAATGGTAAATTACAAGACAAAGTTCGTCTGGCCTACATGATTTAAGAAATAATAAATGGAAAAAGTGATCCTAAATATTGCAAATTCAGGTCTCTCCGTCCTCCTGTTCTACAGGAGGAACAAATGAATTTAGAATTTAAAACTGATGTGCTTAAAGTGCAGAGGCGATTACACCTTGTATTGTCAGCTATTATTTAAAGTACAAGGAAAATTAAATTCTCCCCAAAGGACTTTAGCCTCTAAAGGCCATAGCGTGAAGCCTCTTTTCCTAAATTCAGATCCATTTTTTAATTCTCAAAAGACACTGGGATGTGACGATCAAAGACGTATTAAAGATTGATCCTGGCCCCTATCTTGGTTGCAACTTCTGTCCCAAGGTGAACGGTTGACAAAAATCGACGGTAAAAGGAAGACAGTTCAAGTACTCACAACCCACACATGTGGCCGTCTGGGTATTCAGGAAAATAATAAAACCTACGATGTAAAGAATAATCACAATTGCGAACGCGATCAGGATCTGTATCCTCTTCCTACGCTTGTCCCATTCTCCAAATGTTATGTAAGGCAGGAAGATGAAGGCAAGGAAGAACCCAAAGACAAAACCAGCCATGTGCGCAAAGTTATCGACGTAAGGTAGAAGACCGACCAGAAGAAGTAGGAGAACAACTGCACATAGTTTTAAGAGCGCTAATAATGGTCGCTTGATTATCTGCCAGCTTTGAATGAGTTCGACGAAGAGACAGGCTATGATACCAAACATTGATCCAGATGGGCCGACCTGAAAACAAGCAATGAAAAATTTTTTTCTGTTTGTGTCACACTAAACACTATTTCAAAATATAGGCGGCTGTAAGATGCAGAAAGTAGAAGGTAGCTATACTTTCTGTGCAACCAGGAATGGGAAAATACAAGTTGCGCGCACAAAATCCTCACACAATTAGCGACATTTTTTAAAAGAGGACAAACAGCACAAGAAATTGTCACGCGTGACAGCGCCTTGAGACGGACAGCAAACTTTGGAATTATTCTTAAGGTCGCGAAAAATACAGTTCACACACTTTTCCATGTTCGGTTAATGTATTTCCAGTCATTGAGAACGTTTTATTTTTTTGTTTGTTTGTGGGTTTACTGACCTCTACTTGGTAAGGAATAAGGATAGCACTAATGAGGTAGCCACCAATCCCACTGAAGATATATATGATGGTTATTCGAATCCATCCAGCCAACTTCTCCAGGTCACGTAATATTGTAAAGTTAAACACCAACGTGCAGGCTAAATGGATAACACTAGGGAGAGAAAGAAATTCAGGTTGATTAGTATCTTATATTTTAGGAATCAAGAACCAGCTGAGTTGATAGTGTTCCCTGAAAGGAGTTATGGGTCAACTATTTTTGGTTAGCTTTTTCGTTGAAATGGGACAACGAACATTGAAGGTAAAAAGGTCTATTTTGAAGAAATTTTTATATTAGCTCGTAATTCTTTGTTTCTTTTGTACCACGAGACCATTATATTAAGATTTGTCCGCCATTTTTTTCATTGTCTTGTCAGTGAGTGACGCACAGAATCACGGAAAATGCTAATCAAAATACCAAGCTGAATCCTCAATTCTGATTGGTTGACCTTGAGTTAGTTCTGAAGGTCAACTCAGCTGGAATCGTGTAGCGAATTTCGAGGTTGGCTCAGGTCCCATTGCTTGACTCAACAGGGAACTGAAGATTTACAAAATCTAAGGAGACGACGTCAACGTCAACCGGAAGTGTAAAAACTTTCGTGCCTTTAAAAGTCTGTCTTTGCTGTAAATCTCCAATGAACAGCGCCCCAAAGAGAAAATATTCCCCTTGCCGGCCCCCTTACCCTGCATGTAGGAATAAAGCCATCCATAGACGATAAACTTGATCGGCAACTTTAGGCTTGATAAATGGAATCATTCCACAGATAGTTTTCAGACAGTTCACCTGTCAAAAAATTATAGAATATGAAATAAATACAAGCACGAATCAAACAGTAGCGCCGGCTTTAATGTAGACATTGTTTGGCCACGGCGTGTATCCCGATGCGCGGGTTGCCTGTTTTAGAGGTTTGGCCAACCTCTGACAAAGGTAGCCCAACTTGTCCCGAGCAAAGCAAGTTGAAATATCATACCTGAGAGCAGAGTGTAGCATTCTCGTGAAAATATCCTCGTCTAAACTCACACTCCTCTCGGCTAACAATGATACACTGTGCTTGTGTTCCTACACAACATGGACGTCCTGTCACTTCGCAGGTCATGTGAGGGAAATCAGCAGCACTGACGTTCTTGTTGGTCTTCTTGCAGATCTGGGAAAGTATATAGAGGCAATACAAACAGCCTTTAATTGCAACTGCTTGGGTTGAATGACGGATGGAGCGAGGGAGGGAGAGAGATGACGGATGGGGGGAAGGAGGAAGAGAAGAAGGGAGTAGACTTTGAGCGGTCCCACTTTCCCCTCAGACTTACTTAAGACGAGTGTTTCAGGATTACTGTGGACGCAATTACTATACTGGGCTGCTTACTCGGCTCCAATCTCCGGGTGCGTCCACAGGAATCCTAAAACGGCCTCGTCTTTACTGATTCTGGAGGGAAAAGTGGGACTGTTCGTAGTCTAGAAAGGAGGAGAGAGGGATGTACAAGACAACAAATAAACTTACAGGCCATTTTGTGATGTCCCATAGATTCCACTCGTAAGGTTTGACTGATGGAGGATCTTGACACAACCTAGAGAATAACGAGGACAATTAACAATGTTACTGATAATTCATAGTACACGAAGTTCTTCTTTTAGGGAAAGGTTTTATGCACTAAAAGGAATAAAAACCCTTACTCCTGTGGATAGGAAGGACGTTTCAGGGGAATTGGTTGGTTTATTGGTTAACATGCATGTATTTGTAATAATTATAATTGACAAAACGTGAGGAGAGACACACACATGCTCCGACACCAATACCACAATATTAATGTTATATCTTACTGTGGGTCTTGTCCACACACTGCCCGCGACTTGTTTCCTTTGGAATACACTTGAAAGTTTGTGAACGCATGCTGTCAAGAAAATGGCGGGGGGAAATCAATGACTTATCTCCATCCTAACCACAACTACCCCTGACAACAACTACCCCACTAACACCACCATCACCCCCCTCTAATAACAACTACACCACCACTATCAACACAACCACCACTACTACTAACACCACCATCACCACCCCTAACAACAACTACACCACTAACAACACCACCATCACCACCCCTAGTAACAACTACACCACTAACAACACCACCATCACCACCCCTAACAACAACACCACTTACACCCCCACCATCACCAACTTCACCACTAACACCACCACCATCACCATCACCACCCCTAACCACAACCACACCACCACCATCACCACTACTAACTACAACAACTGCACCTCTATTGCGCGCCAACAACAACAACAACAAACACTTGAGAGTGTTTACATTTTGCAGAAATAAAGCAACAAAAAATAGACAATATTCTTACGGAACAATTAGAAGGAGAAGACTGGATGCAGCCAGAGCCATCTGTTTTTATACAACAACCTGACTTGACCTCCTCATAACGTTCTCGCTCAAGAGCCTCTGTCAGTAGCTTGTCATGTCTCATGCATGGTGCAAACTTTGCTCCAAGATGAATCAAAGCTGCCTAGAAAAAAAAACCCAACACAAATCAGTATCAGAAACACTCAAGAATTGACCTCATACAATGTAAATCTGTCTGGTACGCTATTCTAGGCGTTGTCTCACAACGCTTTTATCATTAGTCTCCTACGCAGCCGCTATTAGTGTCGTCACGCAATGCTTGGGGGGAGTAAGTTAGTGGTGTAGTGGGGGGAGTAAGTTAGTAGGGTAGTGGGGGGAGTAAGACTACAAGTAATTGCAAGACTAACACAGAAAAGTCATTTATATTTTATTACACATCTTAGGGTACAGTACAGGTTGATGTTTTATCGATTCTACAGTATATATATATTTCATCCTTGTCTGCACCACAGGGGGAGGGGGGAGGAGAGGGGGTAAGGGGAGGGGGGGCAATGTACCATTTTCCCACATGAAATTCCGCATGAATTAATTATATTTTGGTCTCAAGAGCAGACTTTCGGCGGACAGGTGTCCCTTGTTCCCCCCTCCCTACTCTAGTGTTGTCATGCCAAATCTGCTCTAACCAGTTTCCTGACACAGCACGTTACATTTTAAGCCAATCAGAGTGCCTAATACTATTGACTGGACTTACATGATTGGGTCCAATCCAGAAGTTATCCAGATCCCTTTCTTGTAAGTACTCTGGTACAAGGGTTCCCTGACGGCTTTTACTGATCTGGAAAATACACAATGAAACAGTCATGGAATATTAAGATTATTAAATGTATGCAAGCATGTACAAAGAAGCTCAAAGAGGGTCATACAAAGAAGACCAAAGAGGGTCGTATGATTTTTGTTTTCTAAGGTACACAATAAGTTCTAAAGTAGATTTAACTTAAAAGAGGAACATTAATGGCACACGGCATGGAAATGCATCAGATGCAATATCGCCTTGATATCAACATGGCATGATACCACCCTACCCAGCCTTTTTTAGAGTTGGCATTTCCCACAGGAAAAGTCAATATTTTTACACAGAGCAACCAGAGGACCAAGGAAACCAAAAGCATGCAAATTAAGATTTATGTACTGTATGTTTGGCTGATTTTTCCATTAATTTGTGTTATGGCCTCAAATACAACTTCGTTTTCCTTTTACTTTTATCTAAACTGGGCTCCCTGTGTGTTTCCAAGAGATCCTGTGACTCCTACAGACCTAATAACGATGATCTGTTGATCGTGTTTACAATATGTCATGCAGTACTTACCAGCTCATTACGTTCAGTGAAAGTGAAGCCAATAGGAGCAAAGCCATAAACAGCAAGAGTGACAATCAGCACAACCAATTGTACAAAGGATACCCAGTAGGTAAAATAAGGCCTACAAATACAACAGCATTAACCTCAYTAGGTGAACATGTCTGAACTGAAACATTAGTGAATTATAGGGTAAATACATGTGCTAGCATTACCTAGTGTCATGGATTCTTCACAGGGGCGGATACAGGGGGGGGGGTGGATTGAGTGGATTTCCACCCCCCCTTTTTAAAGTAAAAGTGAATATTTTTCGAAAAATAGAATATGATTGCATCTAATTACAAAACATGTCAAGAGTCAAAATATAGCTGCATTCACAAGTATGCAGTACACTGTACTGAATGTTATAATTTAATCATTTCCACCCATTGTACTTCAAAAAGAAGGCTCAAAAAAACTTTTTAAAAATTATCGACCCCCTTTTTAAAATCCTGTATCCGCCCCTGCTTCACGGTCCTTCCCTTTATATGTAAGAACTCTTGTAGTTAACTATTTTTGGCCTCTGTGAATATTGGGGAATAATAACCGAAATGAAGTTGAGGTTATTAATCCCGATATTCACTGAGCCTGAGGTGAATAATTGTTTTAGTATAAATACACAGGTGATTCTTTCAAAAAAAGAAAAAAAGAAGATAAAAGGCACATTTAAAACAACAAAGCTGCTGGCTGCCATTTGGATTATAGCTGGAGGTGATTATCTTAGATTCTCGACCCATCAGCGTGCAAGATTTTCAATAATCCCCTGTGTATTTATACTAAAAGTTATTAACCCCTCCTTGCATAACGTACCTGTGATCGCTGAGATCTTCTATCTGTTTTCTCACTGTACTTGAAAGTCTTTTCCTCTTAATAGTTCTATTCATCCACCGCCCAACCAGTCCCTTTCCATACTGACGTCTATTAGCATTGGTTACTTCTGGTTTTCCCGCCATTCGTTTACCTCGTACATTGGGCGCAGCCCCTACCGGACCCCTGCAAAATGATAACACCAGAGTTGTTAGTTTTTTTTAGATGCATCCAGGTTTCTAAAATCATTATATTATAATAATTAACTGCAAAACTAGTTTGGGCTTAGTCAGCAAGTGACAATAAGAATGAAACTCAATCAAACTCAATGGTGTTTGAAGAGTACATATTTACCAATGCCTTGGATCATTGCTAGTTTTTCATCTGAATGAAACATCTGAACCAAAATATTAGTGAATCATAATTGTCTTTTTTTGCTCGTTATTAAAACTTCATTCTTATTCCCATTTTTTTAAATGTTGATTCTTAACTAAATTTCTAGTTTAATGTTTATGAATGGTGATTAACATACAGCGTTGGTTTAACAGCACATACACACACTTACAACATGTATGTTAGTTACGACCTAAAGCTTATTGAAGGTTTTTTTATTTATTTAGATTTATATTATTTATAAGGGCCTGGAGATAAGTTGCTGATCTTAAGTTTGTGAATGGAAAATGTTGGGGGAATGCTGTCTCATTTTGTAAGTGTGATCTTACTGTTGGGGGTACCTCGGGTGTTCCATGGGGTGAAGGGGGTGGGGGAGGTGGGGAGAGTAGGTCGAAAAAACTTTGAGGCAACTTATCCACAGGTTTATTAGTTTTGAAGGTACTAACAGAAAGACAGCAGGCGGAGAAGTGGCCTCGGTTGGAAACTTCAACTCTGATCTTTAACAGAATCAGGAAAAACCAACATTACTATGCTTCTTACTTGAGTTTGGTGTGCATAGATGTTTTGTCACAAAGTCGTGTCAGTGAAATGTACTATGCCGTCAGTGGCAACATCAAAAGTATTTAATAGTTAGCAAGCATAATATTAATGTCATCAGGATTAAAGTGCTGGTATATATGAAGATTATCAGTGATTTAGTCTTTCAGACTGGTTTCTTCAGATCCACAGACCTTCTTAATTTGGTTTCCACCAACGCCTGAAGGACTGAAGATTGTTTTAAGTTTATGAAATGCAAATTATGAAAGATCCCTTAGTAATTAGACCTTGATATATTTATTTATCATTACACAATAAATCATTATTAATTTAATCAGTAATCTTGCATGAAAATTTTCCAAGAGGTGGATTATCTATTTATTTATTGAACCCCGAAATAATATTTCAACTGATCAAGGTCAGGCCACAGTAAACTTAGAATAAATTAGAATACATTAGAATAAATTAGAATTTAGCATTATTTTGTGGAGGAAGGATTAGGTAAGGTGAAACAAAAAAAATAAGTGTGTTTCCTGTTGTGTGACCAACGCTAATTTTCGCCAATTTTTACTGGCCCTAATATTTTTTCATTCCCAAATGCACCACAGGGTTCCCAGTAAGCTCATTTCCACTGTTGTATCAGTAAGAAGAGAAAAAATATGACCTACCAACCCCAATTATTTTTCTCATGCAAGAGAAAACACACTTATTTTTTTGTTTGGCCTAGTCATAATCACATTATATGTACACAGAGAGAGATCACCTAAATYTCTTTTGCCAACCTTTTACAACACTATACCACAAAAGATTTCAGCACAATGTATTTTTAAGAGTTGCATAAGAATTCAGAAAATCCTGGGATATAATATTTTTATTCATCACTTACAGCCAAGGAGCAGTGTCAACTTCATCTCCACCTGCAGGAGCTACTTTTGGAGTCAAAGGCTCTTTTTCTTCATCTGATTCTGTCTTGTGTTCTTCAAAAACATCTTTAGCTTCATCAATAGGTGGAAGTGGTGTCAGTTTTTTCCCTAGTCTTGCCCTCTCAGAAATGAAGTCAAAAAATACTTCATCATCAAATTCTTTGGAACCCTGTAAACAAAATTGAAACAAGAAACATAGAATTTTATATTTAATTTTTTTACATTAAAAAACGATTGAACGTTTTCTCAAAGTTGAGTGCCCAACCAACTTCTACACAGGCATTATTCTGTGTTTTTTTCCCTTCATAGCAGGATTTTCTGTTCATATATCTAATAGAGAATAAATCCTGGGTATAAGTTGTGGCAAGATTTTAGCAATCTTTTGTGTGATTGAACCTGGAAATATGTCACAACTTTGTTCAGTGACCACATATAAAAGTTCCAAGTCAGTTTCTGTGCATAGCAAAAGTATACTTATTATTATGCTCAYAACTCCAACCTTGGCTTGGAACTATTATTTGTGGTCATTGAACGGAACTGTAAAATGAAGTATTGCTGTTTTAACAACAATAACAATTTAAGGACAAGACAGAATTTTTATTCATCATACCCTGACATCCACTGTTGCAATTGCTGCATCTGTTTCATCAAATTCATCAGGCTCGGCAATAGCAGCTGGACAAAAACTTCTGCCACCTTCAGGGACACTAGTCATGGGAGGTGCTTTGGAAGCTTCTGCAACCTAGTAGAAAGAGCCATACCATAATTGAAAAAGGATAGATAATATGCGATGAAGAGTGTCCCATTTAATCATGTGGGAATAACATTTTATGATTTCAATTCTTTTTTATAAATTTCAAGGATAGTATGACCGGATACCAAAGGTAGAGGAAGCACTTCAATGTCTTTAGATGGACCCAAATCTTACTTCGGCTCACTTCTCACCTACCCTTACTGCACTGAGTTATTCAAACGGCATCTACACAAACAAAAATAACTTTAATTATTAACATTAAAATAATAAATAAATCTTCCTTACCAATGTACCCGCTATAGCTTTATGCTTTAACTGTTTCCATGCCATTGAAGCAACAGACTTCCTCCTGCTCCGTGTACGAACAAGGGTAGGATCATGTTGCGAGCTTGTTGTACTGTGAACACTAGCGACACTAGGAAGACGCCTCTGTCGACTGGCATCAACCACGTCTTCTACTACATCAGCAAATCCACCATAGCGCTTCCCATAATGCCTTCTTTTTCTCTGGGTCCATTTGCGTTCTAGTTGGCTTTGCTCTTCTTGGTCGTCGCAGAGCCCAAAAAACTGTTCTGTGCTTTTTAATATTTTCCTAAGAAAATTAATATATAAAATTATCACAATCAATCGTTATAAACAGATGAATAGTGAAGGAAGGAAGGAAGGAAGGAAGGAAGGAAGGAAGGAAGGAAGAAAGGAAGGAGGGAGGGAGGGAAGGAAGGAAGGAATGGACGGACAAATGTAGAGATGGATGATGGGTGGCAGGATGAAATTATATTAAGTAAATTGTACAATTTTTCTTCAATAGGAGCTACCCTGATGGTAATAAGTTGTAGGATATTCTTTGTATTACAAAAACTTAGTATCAAAATAAACGAAAACTTAAAATTTTTATTAATCTTCTATAAGYTGTTGTTTGATAAATTCATAACACCTAAAACTATACATATACACTTGCACCCAAATAGAATTTCTCAGATATTTTCTTTAAAAGGGATATTCACACCTGTTCAGCTGACACTATTTATCATATTGATCATGTGTTTTATGATCAATAATCACTCAAAATTAAGGCATAAAGACTGAAATTTAAGCAACATATAGAAAGGAAAAACCGTTTTTCAAAAGTTCCGATTTTTGCTAAAAGATATTTAATAGTTAAATTTTTACTAACCAAAATAATGTTGCTTTTTAAAACTTCTGATTAAAATCTTCAGGCTGAAAAAGGACGTCTGTTTTCTACGCTATTCAAACTCATCATTAAAAGTCTGCCTTTTTGCATAACTAGTGTTAACTGACAAATGAAGTTTAACTCTTAATACTGGCCGGAAGTAACACCAATAACAGAGCATAACCGAGAAAAATGTTAACCATTGTGTTAACAAAAATGTGTAACACAGAAACAAATTATAAAGGTTTACTTTATAGTTTATAATTAGTGTTAGTAATAATAGCTTTGTTTATCCATCTAAGGTCAAAAAAGTAAGAAGGATTTACATGATAAAACAGATGAAAAAAGAGAAGATAACATAATGTACATGATACGGAATTGACCTACTTATTTTCTGTTGTTAGGGGCACTTCCATCACTTTTATGGCATCAAACTTTTAACCACAATATAGTGCTTCCTTGTAAGTATATAGCTCTCATAAGTTAGGATAAATTATCTTAATCTGTCTTAAAAATCTCATGCTGTATATGATTAAAGATTCATGAGAAAAAGCATAATGTGCACAGTGGGACAAAAGGTAAGAAGAATCTCATTTAAATTTAAAGGTGATGTATGGAATATAAAAAGCAATTGTGAAAAATAGTCAGCTAGCAGGCTTAATATTGTCAAAAACCGAGAAGAGATTTTAAAAAAGTACAAAAAGGCAATTATTTGACTGGTTGGGAATTATTAATTCATGGCAGAGCAGTTATTAAAATAATGACAAAAATACATCTTATTCATATATACATGATTTATAATATTGTGCCTGAAAAAAAATGTACTGACACTTATTGAAGTGTGCAAAAAAAAAATTTTTTACAATAACTTATGAATTTCTTGTGTGCTGATTGGTTATTTTTTATCATCAACAAGAGGACAGACAGATAATAAAGCTGACGTCAATGAGTGCACATGTGCACTTTCGTTTTGTCGTTTTGATCACAAAAGATTAGAAGTTTTTAATGTTTTTGTTATTGTAAAGAACAAATAGACATCAGCTTTTTTATGTGTCTTTCCAGGCTCTTACTGACGATAAATTTTGTCATCACATTGTCAAAGTAGTGTGGATCTACTAGGCGTAGACTTACAGCTTTGTTTAATATTCACCAATAATCACTTTTCTTGAATGATAATTGTTAAATATTATAAAATAGAGTTACTGTGTATATAGAGGTTATTACACTGCTAGTTACAGCAAGATAATTGTACAAAAGTAAAAGTGGCCATATTTTTTTCAAGCCCTGCATGGGGTAAGAAAAAATACAGCTTCACAAGTAAAACTATGTAGTCAATTAGTAGCCAATTTAAAGACCATAAAGTAGAACCACTATTAACTGGCCAACTGTTAAGCCCCTAACCTCTATACAGTGGCCACTTTTCAATATTATTGACATTAGTAAAAATACACAGGTGATTATTGAAAATCTTGTGCCCTGATTGGTCAAGAAACTCACACTATCACACAATAATCACCTCCAGCGATAATCCAAAATGGTGTCCAGCCGCTTTGTTGCTGTTTCCTAATTTCAAATGTGTCTTTTATCTTCTTCTTTTGAAAGAATCACCTGTGTATTTATACTAAAACAATTATTCACCTCAGGCTCAGTGAATATCGGGAATAATAACCTCAACTTTTTTTTCAGTTATTATTCCCCAATATTCACTTCGCTGTTGGCGAATAATTGTTAATTAAAATAATTGGAATTATTATTCCCTGAGGATGGCTGCTTTAAAAGAAGTTTTACTTTTAATTATTTTTTTAAATTGAAGTATTATGATCACCCAGGTGGATGTAATCCTGAGAAGGACTGTTTGATGGGACTGACATTTCCACAACCTGAGTGGAAGTCATCTTCAGAGTCAAGTGAAGAATAGTCAGAATGGTCATATTTATACTGCCAAGATAACAATAGCCTAATTATAACCTGGATTTGCATAATTGGCAGCATCGTTCTAATGAGAATGAGTGTGCATCGCTGTTTCTGTATTACATATTTTTTGCATGTGTAACTAATGGTTTTCTCTGTAATGGTTGGCCGAGGATGGGCAGAAGCGAATAAAAATAGAAATGGAAAAATAAAAAAGACACCATTTATTCACTAAATCACCAAGAATTTATGCTTGCCTTTATCAATTATTCTTTGATTGTATCATTATCAAATTGACATAAATTTGTTGGAAAATAGTAAATTAAATAAATAGATTAACTTTGTTTATAGAGGATAACATTTGACAGTAATTCAACTGATAAACATGCGGTCCTCTGTTAATGTCTCTAGTTAATTAGGGACAGGACTGCCTTTAGTGTGATCATCCCAGCCACGTGAAATTCTAACCATTTGCAGATGTAATTACAAAGGTAGCAACTTCTCCTCAGTTATTTTAAGACCCTGAGTGTTGGTCCCGCCGAGGCTTGAACAATGACCTCCTGCACAACAGACCGATGCTCTTACCAACAGAGCTAGCTGGGTGGCAGTAAGACATGAATATAAAAAGCGACATTACTATCATACAATCTAAGAAGAATTTGTAAGAGCAACCTTCAAACAAGTAATCTTTATGTATACATTCTGAAATTGTTTGTAACCACTATTGAGTGCTCAAGCTATCTTGATGAGACAGTACAATATTAAATAAATGTATTATTTATTACTAAAAACACTGAAGAAACTACAGAAAATGATAGATATTGTACTAGAGTGCAAACAATCAATCCGTGAAAATCGAATTACTAAGTAGTACAAAATAGTGCTAATTAAACATCATATATAGAAAACAATGGAATTTGCTTGAAATTGTGCTATTTAGTATATTTACTAAAGTTTCATGGTTATATTGTTTGCACTCTATTTAGTGATTAATTATAAGAGATCTGATTGAAAGATTAAATTTTGGTGGCGAGCCCATGTCCACTTGTCTATACTTGCAGCACTTGGGGCTATATATGTTAAGCATTTCGCTGCCACATGCACTCATAAAACAGCCTCTAATATTTAAGCTTATCAGAAATAACTGTCAACTGTCAAGCAGCCTTGTATATAGTCTACTTTGCAGCCGTTCTTAGTGTCGGGATTATATAAAACTTCATCAAAAATGAATAAAATCTACTATAAATCCTTATCAAATAATATTATATTATAGAACTGTCTGGTTGTTTTAAGGCTGTGACCAACTATAAATAAGAGTCTACAGTATATGCCACTTTCGTTTATAACAAGCTACCCAATCTACATAATTGGGTATTAAAGATTTAAATACTTAATAGGCTAGTAATGATTAATAACCAGCTATAGACATTTCTCAGGGCATAATGATTTGATATCTTTTTTGTAACATTACAAGTTATCTAAACTATACTATAGTAGCATGGGTATGTACTCATATAGTAATGATTATTTTATGCAAGAATTCGGCTAGTTATGAATTCAGGCATAGAAATAGATGGTTTATCATCAAGATGTCAAAAACACTGCTTTTAACCTTCACACATGTACATAGTTGAACAAATACTTGTAAATATTTGTAGATCAAGCAAGGACATAACCTTTCTAATAGGATTCGTGGTGATCGTGAATAACATACCTTGTAATTTTTACAGAGAATAAAGCGATAAGAATTCTCCTTTTACAGGAATATTCACACACACCAAGAAGCCTTAGTGATTTATTATAATGGCATATTAAAGTTAATCAAAATATCTCACAAAAGAATACATAAATCTGAAAAAGAACACACGATTAACGAATCACCTAAAATGAAGAACGATTTTACCTTGTGATCTTAGTATTACTGCCAGGCTTGGACGGAGAAACGCGATGTAATTGTGGAACAGAACATGAAGAACTAAACACACTTGGTAAAGAAAATGGACTATCGCAAGGGTCCGGACTTTCTGGAGAAAACGCCATTTTGAGTCCAAAATCAAAGAATCGAAGTAACTCGTTGAAGAACGATTGAACATGTGCAGTGGCAGGTCTTTGTTGAGAGTAATTAGTGAACAGGCCTGTCAAAGTTTTATTTATACTATAAATTTTGAATTAGAGGGGAAATCATGCCGCATCTGAACACGAATCGTTGTCGAATAAAACAGTGTTGAATATTTATACACTCAACAAGGATTCTTCCACCTGAAATCAAAAGTGCTTTAGTTTTAGGTCTGTCTGGCAGAGATTCGTCGAGTAAATTTCGAAACCGAAACGTCAAAACATTTTGAAAAAAGTCCCAGGAGCTCAAATAAAGCCCAACGAAGTGAACGAAAGAGGCGCTGAGCAGAACAATAACCTTTTTAGCTGTGCATTTTTTATCTGTGGACGAGTACATCAACCGGAAGTGAGCTCGTAAAATTCTCTTATAAATAATTATCATTTTGAAGTTTACACAGAGTAGAGATCGCATCTTAGAGCATTAAGAGATCAATTGTTACTTACTTTTTTATGGTTTTGGCTCTCTCTAATTTGCTCGTACTGCCTTTAGTATCGTCGGGGTATTCGTTCGCAGGAGAAGCCAAAGAACCAATGGAACCAGAAGGGGTCACAGCTACACTGGTCGTTCTTTGTGGCTTCATACAGCTGGCAAACAACCTAGATTTAAGACAAACAGTTATTTGTTTGACAACTTGGACTAARTACAAAATAGCATTATTTGACAAACGGAACTTGAATAGAACATAGCGGATTAATGCAAGAATATTTTGAGATAAGTTATGATCGTCTTACTATGAAAGCTGCTCATGAATGTTTGAAAACTTGAGTCAACCACCCTTAAATGTCTTTTCTAGCCCACAATCAAAACACACCAGCGAGGTGAAATCAAAACTATACTAATATCAGTAGAAATGATCATCACCTTGGGTGAGATTCGCCTTGATCTTTTGATTCACTTCCAGATGGATCGCTAACATGAACTTTAGGGAGATCATGTTTTTTCTTTCGCCCGCTCCATCTTGCAGGATTACAGGTAACCCCGATAGACTCCTGCGATTCTCTGTGCTCCGTTGTAGGCTGATAAGCACTAGCCATGTCTTAGCACATTAAAAAATACGCATGAAACTCTGTATATTTTACAATTCGACAAGAAAAGACTGATTTAAACAAAGCTCCACTGCACACAACAGATTCGGTCAAGCAAAGCTGCCTGTCTTACACAGGTAAAGGACTGGCACTAGCTACTTGACCTGCTTTTCAAGACCCCTCCCTGTGTTTTGATTAATTATTTCCAGTGAAGTTTGAACACTTCATAGATTTTGGTAAAATGATCTCAAATTTTTAAAAACTTCTAATTCTATAACTGCATGCGAGCAAATTAATTAGACAGCCCCTCCCCTGGTAAGCCAAAAGTGGCTTTCTATGATGTAGCTCTTACTTCAGTATATAGACAATAATAAGTATATTATTAAGAATTGCTTTTTGTCTGTAAACAAATTAGCAAGCAAGACTTTGAACTGTACTTTAACTTTGAACTGTACTTTAGAGAGAATATCCAGCTTGATGTTGCTACCTTCCTTTTTATTCAGCTTTTGTTGATCTCGTAGTCATTATTTTTGAGAGGATACACTTGCAAGGTGTTTTAATAGTCAGAATTTAGGTTGTGTCTACATGGGATACTCACAGTCCAGATGATTGAGAGAGACTAGGGTTAACAAAGTACATCATAGGTTTCCAAACACACGAGTGGGACTTTGTAGAAATTTTGGTTCTCTTCACTTATTTAGATAAAAAATTAAGTAAAGACACCAAGAATCGAAACCCTATATAGCTTTATTTATGCCATCATAGGGTACCACTACTAGCCGACTGAATAAAATTCCCCTGACAATAATACTCTCCCTAGTATCTCTCAATCACCTGGACTGCGAGTATCCCATCCAGATGTCTAGATAGGATACGCACAGTCCAGGTGATTGAGAGAGACTAGGGTTACAATCCAGCTTAATTTGAACCAAAAAATCCTAACCTGTTCAAATTCCAAGCCTGCTTAACTTACACCTCTTAATAAATGCCAGCCTTGGGCCAGGTCAAAGCAAAACTTCTTGACATCTTTGATGCAAACACACCCCCAGCTAGGAATTTTGTGCAAGGGGTCTATGGCATGCACTTGAAAAAGATTAAACTGCTGTAATCGATATTGTTCATGTCAGGGAAGTGTAGATTTTATGACATACAACCTCTTCAGCATTTAGACAGCAAAAAGGACCCAATAAAAGGATTGATCATGGCAGCAGATGTTTCACCATACAAACTCTTTAGCATTTAGACATCAAAAGCTAGAGAGCAAAGGTAGCCTTCTCTACCCTTTCCATATCAAGGCCACATTTATTAGAGTGCAAACAATATAACCGTGAAACTTTAGTAATACTAACTTACACTATTTTATGCTAATTCTATTGTTTTCTTTTGTTTAAATAGCACTATTTTGAACAATAAATTTATTTAGTAATTAGTGTTTCATGGATTAATTGTTTGCACTCTAATAAACTTAGATTTAACTATCATTTCAGATTAAAAGCAAATCACCCCCTTCCATCATAAAATAACAGAAACAATAATTTATTAACAGTTTTTATTTCCAACTGGACAGTTTAAAATTTAGGAGCTGCATCAGCTGGTGCAGACTTCTGTCCTGATACATGGTTCTTAGCCAAGTAATCTGTGAACTCTTGGTAGGGAGTCTTGGCAAACTCCGTTTCCTTCCACATGTCTGGTGTCAGATAGGAGTAGGTCTTGGAAATGGCTTCGAATGTTGCTTTGGCTAGTGAAAGAAAATGAAATGTTTAAATATTCAGCTAATAATTATATAACTAGTTGTTGCATTAGGTAAGTGAAGTGCTGTGATTGGAAAATATCATGAACTTATAAAGATCAGTGTCACTGCTCACCAATGTCCACAGCAAAAAGGAAAGTACAGATATTTGTAAATCCAAGATATAAATAAGGTTGTCAATCAAAAACCACCCAAACAGAAATCAGAAACTTACCAAAGTTTCCAAGAGTAGCTGTTTGTCCTCTGGTAGATGTGTAACAATCCTCAATACCTGCCATCTGCAACAACTTCTTGGGCACTGGAGCACAAACAAGGCCTGTACCTCTGGGTGCCGGGATGAGACGCACACGGGTTGAGCCACATTTTCCTGTCACCTGTTATCATACCAGAAAAAAAGATACCTATTTTATTAAAAGTTACGAACAAAAAAGATCAGTTTTGAAGTAGTTCTCAGGAGCTTGGTTGAATATTAAAACAATACTACATGTCACAAAGAAGGGTTTTCACACCAGAAAAAAATTGCTTGGTCACGCCTCCATTGACAAACGCCAACCCTTTAGTCTGCATTCCTTTCTTCACGTTTTGGCATTCTTTTGATCATTTGTGGGAAAGAAAATTATGAAGAGTATGCTGAAACGCTAAGAAAGCTCCCATACAGTGATTTTATATTACTTAATTTTTCAATTTAATATAAAAGCGCATTTCAAACACTTACCTTGCAAGGTACAGTATGGGGTTGACCTAGCTTGTTACCCCAATAGCCACGCCTAACTGGAATAACAGACAACTTAGCCAGGATGATGGCTCCACGGATGGCCGTTGCCACTTCCTTGGAGCACTTGACACCAAGACCAACGTGTCCATTGCTATCTCCAATGGCAACAAAGGCCTTGAATCTTGTTCGCTGTCCAGCTCTAGTCTGTTTCTGCACAGGCATGATCTTTAAGACCTCATCTTTTAAGGCAGCACCAAGAAAGAAATCAATGATCTCGAATTCCTAAACAGCAAACAAATTCCAATATCAAATGCAAGTACTTTATTTGGGAAATGCCAATGTGGCAATAGCATAAGATGGTCAATAAATGGTGTCAGAGTGTATCGTCCTGGAACACCATATAAAGGTTATCAGGATAGCGACACTATAGTTATTCTCTGCAGAATCAGCTCCCAATCAAGCCAGTGTTAGAGCAAGTTGGTACTGTGTCAAAATGAAACTGCATACTTTATTTGAAGGCAGTGGCTATTCCGTACGCYGACTTGTATTTGCTATTCATATGGCAGTGGGACTTGGGAATTTTTTGAGGATTTTGGTTCTCCTCACTTAGAAATGAAGACACCAAGAATCGAAACCCTAACCCTAACCATTAAACCACAAAGTGAATTCACTTGGGTGCCCTCATCTTTTGTCATATTTAAACAATGTATCATCAGCACGTGCACATAAATATTTATTATAGCTTAATTTATGCTATTTTTGACTGGCGTAGGAATAGCAAGTACAAGTACAAATAGCCACTGCGTTATTTGAATGGCGATATTATAATTAACTACCTTGATTGGGAGAGAGAAAAGGTAGATTTGTTCCAAGTTCTTGATCTTCAGATCCTTGACCAAACGTCCAAGCTTAGTAACTGGAACCCACTGCAATGAAAAGTACGGTCAATAACCTTGAAAATGGGCCATTACAAATAATTTATATGGGTAATGACACTATGTACCTCTTTGTCCTCGGCCTTTCCACGGCCTCTTCCGCGACCGCGTCCACGTCCCCGTCCCCTACCACGGCCTCTACCGCCAAATCCTCCACGGAAGTCTCCTCGTCCACCGGCTGGTTCTGAGTCCGCCATTGCTATGTTAAACAAACACACATTTATTTCATTTAACAATTATTTCTTTGACAATTTTCCAAGCTTGAACAAAGTCTGTTCATGTTTGTCACTATTATACTTCACGTGTGATTTTTAGTGTTTCCTAAAAACCAAATCACGAGTTTTTGAAGCCCATCTTTGAGTGCTCATCGTAACTAAGCGATGTGGTGAAAGCATAAAATACAGCTAGCAAACGTTGAAGCATATAATAAAGAGTTGTTCTATCCAAACTTTGTGAAATAGCGATGAAGGATGTCCTAGATTTTATTAGATTTAGTAAGACAAGTCTTTGAAATACTTACGTGGTTGTGTTCACGATAAAAGAAGAACGATGTAATGCGCGCAAGGCATTTTGCGACTTACAAGGAGCGAAGTGCTTCCTGGGAGATTTAGCACAGGAAGCCCAAACTAACAGGTTTTTGTACTAACCAAATCTGGATAGACTTCCTATCAGACACTTTTAAGTTATTATTATTTAACATTTTAAAGCATTATATCATGCATATGATTGTGAACATATGAGTTGTTTTGAAGTGGTGGTAATAATGTCCTGAGAGCTGAATTTTTGTTACTAATTAGTTTGAATCCAGGCCGGATAAAGGATATTTTTAAGAGGGGGTGACTGCGTCATGGRTCAGGATGTTTACAAACTTGAGTAGCAATTATAATGCAGTAGATATTAACAACTGATCTAGTGGGGATGGTGTGCAACCTTTAATAACATTATTGAATGATAAATTAAAATCAGGGATTTTAATAATTTTGGTTTGCGACTCTCATAATGATATTTAACACAGTAAAATGTGATTACAAAATAGAAAAGAAATCCACCCTGCACTGGCCAATACTGGATGAAATTTCAATTAAACTTTTATAATGCTTCCAGCATATGACCAAGAAAATACGGCCTAGGGCAAACATAGAACTTTCCATGCACTGAACTCATTAAAAACAATGGATATCAGGTGATAATGAGGCGGCATTCTTTGATGTAATTAAGTTTGGTGCATGGAAAGTTTGACGTTCGCCCTAGGCCTTAAAGATCCTTAATATGTCTTCTAGTTTGATCTATAAAAGCGTACATTACATTTTTGTGCAATATCTTTTTCTTTGTTCCTCATATCTCTCTTTCTTCGTCCCTTTGCAATTGCTTCAGCCATTTTGTTTTACATTTTATTCATGTAAATATTGCTAAAGCATATTTATTGTTGTTAGACTGCTAGCAACTCCCACTATTTCCTTTGATCACTGTTTGGTTTGGCCAAGTGAAGTTTAGTACCAGTGCTACGTGTGGACAGCATGTCTTGAAACTAATTTTCTCATGCTCAACTACTACAAGAAGTGGGAAGTGACCAAGAAAATAGGGAGGCTGCTCATAGTGAAGCAAATAAAACCATGAAAAAGTACAATTAATTAATATATAATTGATTGATACAAAAAAAACTATTAAGTACACTTTGTTAAACAGATAGTTTGTTGCGTAGTACCAAAAGCTTCTTTTTATTAATTACTATAAAACAAACCTCTATTCAGCAGATACCTATGTTAAACAAACACCAGGCATGGTCTCAAAGTGTTTAATAAAGGTACCACTGTATTTAAATGATAGAAAACAAAGGATCTTGCATACTTTTTATTACCTATCTTGTTTTACTAGTTTTTCATGGTTTTGCTGAGTGCAATAATTATTTTTTCAATATTTTGAAGCCCTGACATGCATATAAACATAATATTCAAAACAGCTAACTAGTATGTCCTATTGTGCTTTTATTAACAGTATTAATAAGCCCTATTAATAAGCCCTATTAATAAGCCCTATTAATAAGCCCTATTAATAAGCCCTATTAATAAGCCCTATTAATAAGCCCTATTAATCAAGGTCTTCTCCGTCTGGAATTGAGATATTTACATCTGGTGCACCATTCTCGTCAGAAAACAAAGTCTGCATTAAACCACCTGAAATAGGTCAAACAAAAATAAATAAATAATAAATAAATAATGGGATTAACAGTGGATTCCACACAGTGGCTATTTTTCCACTGGATTCCAATTGACCCTTTGCCAAAATGGGGGCCGCAAATTCAGTTAAAATTGAACTGAGTGAAAAATCAATACCAGCACTGGAAAGATTCATTATGTCAGGTGTTATATTGGCCGAGAAAACTTTAGTTGAAAATTGACAAATTGTATGTCTGGAGTATAGCGTATACGTTACCCATAATTCCTTGCATTCCAGTCGGCTGAGGAGGAGGAAGACCAAAGAATAGTTGTGCTATCCTATCTAGATACTAAAAAAACATTCAAACAAATATGTCAACACATTGTAATACTACAGACTGGCTTATAATTGATTCACAATCGTATACAGTACAAATGCTCTCCTTGCTCTGATGGTGTGACMATCTTAACAGAGATATTGAATATTGGCACTAAGATAGTTCAACATTTTAATATAAACAGCCTAGTTATAACTTATTTTAAAGTCCCTTTAGGCATCTAGTTTTGGTCCAAGGACTTCAAGACAGTAACATACACCTTCCTTAACTTTTAATATACATTTCAATTAGAGTGCTCACACTAAATCCGTGAAACAAATACTAATTTTTAGCACTAAATAGTGATAATTAAACAATAGAAAACAAAGGATTCTGTATGAAATAGTACTAATTAGTACTATTTAATGTTCACGGTTGTAGTGCGTGCACTGTACTATGTGAATATAATGTATTAAAATCGTGAAGCGTTGTTGAACTCTTGGAATTGATGCCATATAAAATATAATCATCATCATTATTATCATTATCATTATTACATGACAAGGTGTGGGTATATTGCTAATATTTACAAGCATTTAGGTACCATCCTTTGTAATTATGTCAATATGGGACAACATTTTTTAGCCTGCTTAAAATCATAATAGTTCTCCTTACTATTTTATATGTAGGATCTCTCTCTAATGTTGGCTGATACTTCTCACATAGGACAGTAAACAAACTTAATGATCCTTGTCTGAAAAAAAGATTAGTAGTTAGTATGATGATGTCAAATAATTAAGTATGGTAAACATCAGTGTACAGTTTTGCATCCATTCTGTCAACAGCTAGATATCTGTCAATGTTTTGGCAGCTCACTTTTTCATGATCTGGTGCAAGCTTGCAGACAGAGCAGAATGCATGTAAGAATGAATTGACAAAGGAGTCAATCACAGTCTATTATATATAATGGTGCAACCATGCAAGGGGTCCAAAACAAAGTGCTTTAAAAGTTTAGCATTTTAACTTTATATAAAAGGCTAGGACTGACTTACAATGCACACACCAACAGTATACCATATCCCTAATGCATAGCTTTATATGGTACAAAAGATTTTAGACCTTCAAGTCTTCTCAGATAAGGACTTTAGACTGTAGGMCCTGTCTCCCAACCCTTTCTAACCTGCAGTAAAATGGGAGAAACAGCCTATCCCTGTCTGGAGGCATAACACTAATGTACTAACAAATCACTCATGATTGTAAGCTGCAGAGCTGCTAATAGCACCTTAATATGCAGCCCGTAAAGTCCTCCACTAGTCATAAATGTAAAGCACATTAAGACGTTGTATAAATGCGCTATATACATGTAAGAACCTCCTATTATTATTAATTAATCACCCATAGAATGCATAGCGTGCTGCACACATATATTTGTTCATGCTAAGTAGTTGCACATTATTGAGGTTTACCTTTTAATTGCCGACAAAAGTAACCATACAAAGTTTAACAGTGGTTTTGGGAATGGAGGTTCTTGACTGCTGAATTCAGGATGGAATTCAGTATATTTGAGGAAGACTATATTGGCAGTATTAGCATTAGGTAGACAAAGGAACCTGAAGAGAAGTAAAAGTCTTGTCATTAGAGCACTCACAACTAATCCATAATGAACTCCTGTTATCCCGTTTGCCTTGGGCTGCCTGTGGTAACCAAAACAAGACTTGCCTCCTGCTAGGATAGTCCTCATAGGTCTTTGACAAGACAGGTTAGAAGAGAGAGAGAGAGAGAGAGAAAGAGAGAGAAATTGAAAGTTTACACTGTAAGAAGTCTCAAAGGAAAATATGTTAGTTTGTTTGAAGCCTATGAGGTTGAGCTTGATCAGCTACACAATATTATACACTATAATAATTACTAAATACTCACTGTAAGACAGTTTGAGTGACAAACAAATCTTGTTCCCCAGGGTACCCCCTGGTAGTAGCAAATTCAATCAACATCTTAGCACACTGTAATCCATCATGTGTATATAAAAAGTGATATCTTGATTCGCCATAATTTTTCTCTGGGGAAGTTAAAAATGGATTGTGATTGAAAGTTAGATAGATGAAAAATGGACGCTATTCATTGATGAATGCCAAGACCAATCACCCCAGGAGCTTACTTCAAGGAAATGCTATACCATTGCAGTACATACCCCTCCTTCCCCAAAAAGCTACCCATTTCTTTTTTAATCTGAAACATTCCTCCTTAGATTGACACCGGTGGGACAAATGAATTGAGTGGTAAATGTCCATTGCAGGGGTACATATAAATGCCTATATACCTTGCCAATAGATCTTTGCGCATTCATGGTGAAGATCGGTATTGCCATACTTTTGAGAAGGATCTACTTCTTTTGTCCAACTAAAAGAAAACATTAATGAACAAGAGTTGGTAAAAATAAACATGAGAATTGTGTTGTAAATATAGAATGTTGCGCATTTGGAGGGAACCCCACAAAAGAGCCCCGTAAAACATACGTAATATTTCCAGGATCATAAGAGTAAGTTAAGATTATCTCACTTGAGTGCTCTCTGTAGAAATTCTTGTCTGTCCTGGAAATCCTCTGGATCATAAAGTTTGAATATACTGAGGATCTTCTGTAAGCTAGTTTTATCAGCTTGTTGCTTTGAATTCTTAAAACACTCCAACATTAGAAGAGCAAGATCATTACCACTTCCAACCTAGAATACACATATACAGACATCCATGATTTTGTTACTAAGTTACATAATGACCAATAGTTCCCTTTACATTTCCCTTTGCCATCTTTAAAAGTAGCTGTGCCTTTGCATCAAAGCCAAATGGTGCGCTTGCAACGATAAAGACATGCTATAATAATTGTCCAAGGTGTTAAAAAAAGTCCCTATCATTGCAAGATCATTGTCGTCACCCTTCAATGCTACCTTTCAAGATGGCGCAGGGAACTGTAAAAAGACTATTCAAATCTTAGCGATTAAAATTGTGAATATGCTGGCGGGGACCACTTTCACRATATTAACCCAATAATGTCCCAATGTAGAATGAAAACTGTAACCAATAAGGAGAGACTAGCAGAATCAATATCACAGTAACCTGCAGTCAATCAAAATAATTTATTCACATTGCTGTTGATAATACCTAATTCGTTTATCATTATAGATTCAGATCCATATACTGTACCTGCTTATGCTTTAGAAATAAACAAGCACCGTTATGTAGCAATTCTGCGGCATCATTATACTTCTTTTGAGATGTATACCTGGAAGTAAAGAAAATAAAAATTAGCTATTAAATAGGGCCAGACTTTGAAATATATAATTTGGGATGACAAGATATGTATACCGAAGTTTTATGTCATACTCACCACCTTGTATAATAGCAGTGGATCAAGGATGATTTTATAAAACCAGTATAAATTATGTAGCTTCCTATTTAGACTTCAAGGAAATTTTTGAGCCTTTATTTGAAACTCTAAGGGGAAGTGGGAGGCATGCAATCTAGCCCTGGCTCTGCAGTTTTGCTATAGTCATTATCACAAGAATGGCCTTTACTTCCTAAAAATGGTAATTATATCATAACAGGAAGCTACCCAGAAGCTTGAAAAAAAATTCTTCGCTTATTTATTTTTTTTATGAAATTCCACTCATAATAAACTACTTCGTATAACACTACCACCATCAACAACAACAAATATATGAATCATTCAACATCAATACAAATCACCTCATCGTTATGGAACAATTATTTATCATTGTCTGCCAAAGAATGAACAACATTGACATAATCATCTACTTTACTAAGTTGATAATGATCAATAACCAACATGCTAGTTGCCTGACTTTCACAACCACAAAACGCCGTTATACAAAACGAAATAAGAAGACTAGCTACACGTAGGAACTAAGCTTATTCAAGCTCATTAAATTTTGATTGATCTATCATATCATTTTCGTTCTTACGAAATGTCTGAAACCTTCTACAATCTTGTAAAGAAAGCACATATTTATAAAGCAAAGTTTTTAGCAACATAAAGATTTAAAATAACTTACGAATGTATGACTTTCTACAAAAAGGGATAACCAATAAGCATGCGTAAGCAAGCTAAAGAAGTTGTTTTAGTTTCCTAGTAAGACTTGCCGTTCAAGACTAAGAAATGACTGGTTATTTAACAGCAAAATAATTACTTAAGCACCAACAAACCTGAAATATAAAGTCCTTATCATTTGGTGTGCTTCATAATAGCTTCCTTCTTCTATTGACTTATTTAATTTCTGTAAAACTCGTTGTATTCCTCCACCTCTACTGTTTGCGTTCGCCGCCATCTTGCTTCCTTATCATTCGTCTGCAGTACGAAGGCTTCACGAAAGTACTCCGAACAAATAAAGATCACTTTTTTAATTTTTATTTTTTGTTCTCTTGTATATTAGGAGCCTTGAATGTAAAATCTTGTCTAAGAAGTTAAGTATATTGATATATTGATAAAAGTCTCTTTTCTAAGATGTCAAAAAGAATATTTAAAGAGAGATGTAAATTCTACGTGCATTTTACGAAGTTTGTACGAGCGAAACACGAAATGTCCCGCTGTGGCACTTAGTACTTTTTTGCCAATCTCGGTAGAGCCGTGGAACGCCTGTGCAATATCAGTATCTTCCTCGAAAAATGCCATCATACAGAACATTGTGCACAAAAGATACTGGTTTTTATGCGGATACTGTTGAATGGTGTCCCATACAAGGTTTTAAAGATGTCTTAGTTTGTGGTACTTATCAGCTCGTTGAATCAAAAGATCCCACAGGGTCAGCTCTGCCTTCGAGACGAGTGGGAAATGTGCAGTTGTACCGTCTGGACAAGTCAGAAAAGTGAGTAAAATTACTTCAAGTGTTTTCTTTAACTTTCATATTATGAATCATTTAAGGTTAGTTCTTTTGTTCTAAATGTACAGAAATCTTGAGAAACTGTTTACGACTTCAGAGGGAGCTGGGATTCTGGACATGAAATGGTAAGTTTGTGTTAGGTGGAGAACCCTTGCATACTTCGAAGTATTTGATAAAGAGATAATTATATGAAGAAGAGAAAGCAAGAGAAAGTTGAGAAAGATTAGATAAGAAGAAAGAGAATTAGGAAAAATTATATATTTAATTCATCCATTTTTTTATTTATTTATTCATCCATCCATCCATCCACTAATTTATTTATTCATTCCTCCTCTATTCATTTCAAGAATCACTTCAAATAATTGCAATCATATGAAAATGTTTTTATATTATCTTTACAGGTATCCCGAAGAATTGAACAACAGAGCTGTCTTGGGAGCAGTCAGTGCTGAGAAAGAGCTGAAGCTTTTTACACTCTTTCACGAACAGGTGGTAGATATAGTTTATTCTTCAATTGGTCCCAGCACAGGGCTCGAAATAGTGGCCTGCCAATGGCCAAATGACAGGCCAAATTTCAGGTTTGGCAGGCAAAAATAACGATGCACTGCCAGATGAATAATAAAATGACATGCAAAATTTACTGGAATGACCTCCTTTTACCCTGCTCCTTTACTTTGGCAGGCTGAAAAAAATTTCTATTTCAAGCCCTGCAGCATGATCCCAACTAGTTAATATGGCCACTAAAGGGACAGGCCAAAGTAGCCCTATTAGGCAGGTGTCTGTATTAAGCTGGCTCTCAAAAATCATTACAAACACATTGTATTAATACCAGTGTCCGTATTAAGCAGGGGTATTTGGTCAGGACCTACAAAAGTGTCCATAATAACTGGGAGGCCATCCATATTAAATGGGTGGCAATAGAGTGGGGTAAACTACTGTGCTTTCAAAAATACTGTTTGAACTTGCTAAAATATTTTCCAAGGATGGTACCTTTGTATTAAAAGAGCAAACAAGCACATGTGTTGGTCCAGAGAAAATTTGTCTTTCCCTAGACTGGTCATCATCAATAAACAAGTAAGTTTTGAACATTTTTTCTTTGTGTAGAACATTGCTGACTTTACACAACCATCTTGATGACCCACTCTCTTATTAGCCATTCTGAGGCTGAGAAAAACACCTGGGTTAGCATTGCAGTGAATTGTGAGGCTGAAATAATGAATAGTTAAATACCTACAGAAAATTGATTTTGTGCCACTATTATTTTCAGTGAGCTTCGATGTGTTGTAAGTGATTCCAAGGGGCAAATAACACTTGTGCAGTGCAGTGAAACATCACTGGAGCCTCGTCAACTCATGCAATGGACAGGACATGACTATGAAGCATGGATAACAGCCTTTAATAAATGGACACCCAATATTGTTTATTCAGGTAAACTTTAATAATCAAAAACTATGTGAGAAATACACTACTTCTTGGATGAGTAATTTCGTTATTAATTGGTTGATCACACAGCAGATATGAGATCACTGATTTACAGTATATAATCTTCGTAAAAACATTAGGGGGTGATGATTGCCGCTTTAAAGGATGGGATACAAGAACAGACTGTACTCAACCAATATTTAATTCCAAAAGGTACTAGCTGTGTTCCTTTTTTTGTAAATAACTTTTTGTACAGTTGTACATACATTATAATATGACTGTAATTATTGAATAATAAACTGCAAGTGTTCAAGAGAATATGAATTCGATATTTTTTTAGGCATGAGATGGGTGTAAGCAGCATCCAGTGCAATCCTGTTCATGAAAACATTTTGGCTACTGGAAGGTAAGTACATGGGATTATCATTTTGCACCTAGCAATTTTTTAAAATTCATATGCTTTTCGTAGTGACTTTTACTGAATTCTGTAACCTTCAATATACTTTATGTACGACACTTCCATTCATTCTCATAATTTTTTTTTATTATTATGGGCAAAATATTTATGGAATGTCAATGTTGTGTTGCAATGTACATGTACAACACTTTCACTCATTCTCAGTTAAGAAGTTTCTTTGGCAAAATATTGAATGAACAATGTTGTCTTGCAGTTATGATGAAAATATTTTACTGTGGGACACAAGACAAATGAAGAAACCTCTATGTTCATCTAATCCTGGGGGAGGGGTGTGGTGCATCAAGTGGCATCCTCATTATGGGAATCGAATACTGACGGCAACAATGTATGATGGATATCATGTATTAAATTATTCTCATGACAAAGGTGAGAAAAAATAATTTACAGTGTATACCTCATACAGGTACTTTAAATTTTTAGCAAAGTCTTGGCGTTATCATAATTAATACTGATGTGGAAATAGGCAGACCCAGGGGAATGTGGCATTTTGGAGCAGGATGGCACAAGGGGGGTTGGCATCACATTTCACACATTGATATTCCTAGGCATAATGACGATTTTTAACTTCTTATAAAATGAAATCATCCACATATCATGCACATTTTAAGAGAAGAATCATGCATCACAGTAAACCTGAAATCACAAATCACACTCTACATTTTATTATTTTCACTCGAATCATGCATAAACCCTGTGCCACTCATTCATTCATTCATTCATTCATTCATTCA